ACCCTAAACCCGAAACCCTACACTTTTTCCCTCAATCCTAAGCCCTATAACTTCTGAACTTGTGAGTGTCCAAGACCTGGAGCCCTCTCAAACTTACTCGGCGAGGGTTTAGGGAGCCCCGCAAGCTTCGCAATTACCCCGCTCCACAACCGTGGCAGTGCCCCCATTCTCTGATTCTGAGGCTCCGCACTGCTCGGTGCACCACAAATTGCCAGAATCGAGAGCCCTCTCATCCTAAACTGAACGAAAGGGGGATATGCAAAGACGAAGCCCTGGATTTAATCGACCCTCAGCCACGGAAAAGCATCAACCACGAATGCCGAGTCTCTGCCTGCTGCTTGAACCTTTGGCTGTACACCCGGTATGCAAGATCCCTGACACTGAAGCCGACCAGTCAGACCCGGTACTTCACGCGAGCCCCGAGGCATTGAGCGCGCTGACGCCTGAATCCTGAAAGCACTCGACCCAAAACGTACGTCCCGTATGATATGCCCCAAAGCCCAAACCATCACCTTAACCCTAAATTCACACCCCGCATCCACCGCATAACCCGCTCGTGAGGTGTTGGCTTCCTTGATGCGCCCGTCACTGGCGCCCCCGCTCGGGCAGCTGCGGGAACGCTCACATCCATGGTGGGTGTTCTCAAAACGCACAGCCGGAAACGGTGAGCATTCAGGCTGAGAGGCTTAGGGGGATGTCCGGGTGCCCGCAGTTTTCGGAGTTCCTCTTCAAGTCTTCCGGGATGGTCTAACACCGTTTGTGGTAGGGGAGGGCCTCATGCGCATGCAGCTAGTCCTGGGCTTACCCAGGCATGACGATGCGATCATATGTGAAAAGATGGGCTAAACGATAATTGGATTGTTAGTGCGTTCGTTTATTGATAGAGGACTCTGCGTGCGTACAGGTGTACGATTGTGTATGTACAGACATGAGGGTATGGAAAAAGACATATGCACACGGAGCGAGTCGTCTGCGGATTCACAGACGTTTGCAGGACAGGAGTTTAGTTTTTTGTTGCGTTTCGGACTAAGGCTTCGGTTGAAGTGGTGTAATTCTTGCCCAAGGAAACCCAAAGCTAGCCCCACTCAACCCTAAACCCTACAGCAATCTCCGCCCCTCGACCCCTGAAGGTGGGTGGCTCCGAGAAGCACCTGGAAGCGGCCCGACCTTTCCTGGGAACCTTTGCTACGAAGATCCTGTTACTCAGCTGAGCATATCCTGGCGGCTTTGTTTGGGGTGAGGATGTGGGGTTATGGCTCATTGGATTTCGGGTGGCCGAGATTTGAACCGCGAGTACGTTGGCGTGTTGGTCTTGCGATTGTTGCCAGTATGGTGCTAGCAACTACCAAGTGCCACAGAGCGGAAGAAACATGCTTCGCTGCAGTTACAACTGCTACAGCCACTCATAGGCAGTGGTGCCTCCTGCTAGAACCATCGTGACCACCAAGATCCTGATCTCTGGGGCTGTGGGCCTGCGACCAGGGGGTGACCATGATGCAGACTTGAGCTCAAGTTGAAGAGTGTTTTGGGGCCCCTGCTCAACTTGTTGTGTTGTTGTGAGCCGCTCACCGGCTTCGACATGCGTGCTACTGTACCCCGTGGCCCTCATAGCATGCTCCTACTCCTTCCTTCGCTTCAGAGCGCGCCATGCAGGGTGTTTTCGCTAACTGCCCTAAGCTCTGAGGACCTATCGCTAAAGCCCGAAACAAGCCCCGGCCCCCAAACCCGAAACCCCCAAATTCATAACCCTTAACGCTTAACACCCCTAAACCCTAGACCGATATGTTGCATAGAACCCTTATATAACCCTATAGGCCTTATAGACTGCTTAGAGATCCTTGTAGAATATAAAACCCATCCCTGCCGGCCGAAGCGAGGCACATGGGCGAAGTCGGCAACGGTCAGCTTGCGAAGGCTTTGAACAATTGTCCACTCCTCAGCCAAAAGGTTTAGGGTTTAAGCTTTGGGGTTCAGGGTTTCAGGGTCTCAAGGTTTTGGGCACTAGAGGCTTTAGGCTGGTGCTGCTGATCCGAATGACCTCCAAGCTTTCTGGACACTTACGGTCATACTCTCCACTATCCAGTTTCCTTCACGCTCTGCCGCCACCCCGAACAGGTGCCGCCCACCCTCTAAGCCCTAAACCCTAAAC